TAACTTAAAATAAAGCATATACTGTTTTTCTATTCGTTCATTTTATTTCTTCCATATTTTCTAATTCTATTAGAACTAACTGAAAAATGGAAAATTAGCATTTTCATTTCCTAATTTACCGACTGATCCTAATTTGCCGGTTAACGTTGCTGAAATATCAAATAGCCGTATGGCAAAGTATCAGATATTCGCATAATGCATGTATCACCAATTGCGAAGAGGTACAGATCAGATTTCGTGTGATATTCTGATAAAATATCGTCAATTAGATTATCTCTGTGTTGCGTATATTAAACCAATTTAAAGGTTATTGATGGATTTATACTGAAAGACACAGCTGGAGGACTTGAACAAGAAGTAACATTGGAGGAGTGTCAGTGTTATTGCGCTAATAGCAGGTTATTTTCAAATTACATATAAATGAAATTGCAATATATGAGGAATGCATCTAACTGTCTAGTATTTAACAAAATCTTTCAGAATATATTTTATTTTTTTACACAGTGGTTGTAATTTATATCTTATCATTTCATTTTATAACTGATAAATTCTAGTTTAGATTTATTAATAATTCTATTTCATAGTTGTTTTTTTATTTTCAGTTTATAATCTAGCTCTAACTCAATATTAAACCAAAATATTTGATAGTATGTTTCTTAATGAAGTGTAAAATGAATTTTTGATGATAATTAAGCAGTAATTCAAATTAAAATCATGAAGCAAATCGGATACCGTTTTTACATCATTATCATTAATTATTTCATTAATTATAGTAAAAAAAGTGCTCACTTCATTGTTTTAATTTAATGAGAGGTATTCTTTTCGAAAAAAATTTGATGGAAAATGTTAAATTTTTCCGATATATTTTCTATTTCTTATTTCAAGAAAATATGAAAGAGAAAGAAAAGATGTTTAAAAAAATTTAAATAAGTATGGGAAAATCTTAATTTAACCAGAAATTTAAATTCAAAAAATAAATTCGTCATCTTGGAATTATAGAATCAATGAACGTTACTCATTTCAATGCATTTCTGCAACATATTACCACAATGAACGTGACTGTATCTTAAATTTGCAAACAAGAAATGAAGTTCCAGACCAATTTAAACGACAGGATAATGTCAGTTATTTGGGAATGATTTGTTCAGTAGGTTAGCATATATTATATTCGTATTTTTAGCTAATAATAATAGCATTTTCCACCATTTTATAAGCATATATTTATTATTATCAAAAAGTTAATACTATATATTTGTTGTTACCATATATTTATGCCATGCACTCTAATATTCTAGGAAACTTGTTACTGTATGGTTATTACCGTATATTTATGCCATGTATTCTATTTGATATCACTCTAGGAAAGTTGATACCGTATCTGTGCCCTGCACCTAATAGGGAGGAAACACATTTATCTGTAGGGACAGAATTTATCTTTTACAGAAGATTCGAAACAACAATTAGTGAATATTGATTTGATTGATGGTTGCCGTCGAATTGTTAACATTTCAACTTCAACAACAAAGCCTGAGATTTTCACGCCAGGTTTGGCTTATATATCAATTTTCTAATTTCAAAAATTCTTGGACTCTACAGAATTCTAAAACTTTTAGTGTTTAATTTGAATGCTTTTGATCTCATTAAATTGAAACTTCGTCTAAACATCAAACATTCTAATTTATCAATTTGATCGGATTTTTCAAAGCATAGGGAAAAAACTTTTCATTAGTATAATTTTCATTTTATAATTAAAAAATTTAGAAACAATTTCTCAAACTATTTAGCAATAA